ACCACAAAGGACTGTATGCATAATTTGCAGGGCCAAAAAAAAAAAAAAAAAGAAGATTAAGCAGAGGAAAGACTTGGAGTAATCACCATGCCCAGACTTCTCCATCTATCCTTTGAGTGCAGCTCAGAGATTAGATGGGGGACTTCAACTGCATAATAAGACAACCTTTGTTCATCGAAGTTCTACCCCTCACCTTCCCACCATCTCCCTCAGCACTCATAGGAACTTCCTTCCCGGCTATTGTTCTTTGAACTCAGGCATTTCCCCTGAGAATCATCTGGATCTCCCCAGAGTCTTTCTGGGGCTTGATCATGCCATCCTGGTTGGCTGTCCATGTGGCTGGGCTCGGTCTTCAGCATCTTCAGAGGTTAAGCTGATATGATGTGACCAAAGGCCCTACCATGGCTTCCCTCGTTAGACTATCTGTCATGGACCAAAGCCCCCAGGTAAACAAAGACACTCTTACCAGGCAAGCATTCCAAGGACTTAGAGATTACCTTCCAGGGGCCACAGACAAAAGCCAGGTCTCTCTTTGAGCAAGGTTAAATTCTTTACTATGCCCTGCTTCACTCCACTGCCATGATGCCATGTGGACCCCTTAACATCCCTGTATGCCCAGGCACCACCTCAGGATAAGGGGAAAGTCCGGAAAGAGGAGAAAGTGAGCAAATGCCAGTTTGCTAAATTAACTGAAGAGTCAGAGTTACTGGATTTGATTTCTGGGCATTTATCCTAAAATGTACCTCCACATATATGAATTGGCATATGAATATAGCTATTCATTGAAACATTATTTATAAAAGCAGAAGTTTTAAAACAACCTGAAGAATCATAAGTAGGCATTGGTTAAATAAATTGTATATCTCACCAGGAGATCCTATGCATCTTTAAATGCATGAATGAGAAATCATTTGTACATACACAAATGTGGAATATTACGTAGCTGTGTTAAATCTGAAAAATCAAATGCAGAAGATCTCTGTGTACTAACAGGGAAATGTCTTTTGGACTTTTCCAGTGAAAAAAGCGGAGTGCATTGGCTGTACCAGCCCCTGCCTGACTGTCTGATGGCGGGGGCCCAGTGCTATACTTAGTTTTGGGTTTGCTTTGTTTTCTTCTCCTGCCCTTCCCACACATGCAGACTTATTGATGCTATTGTTTGCCTAACCCCTTGATACTACACCCCGCAACTCTCATCTTTCCACCTACTCAGACCTGTGGCTGACCCTGACCTTGTTACCTACATTGCCGGGATTTCTCCATGCCGCCGTCACTTACAGCACAACATGGGCTATCCTGGCGTGCACATGTCTTTTTTTCTAAGCTACCCCTTGGGCTCCTTAGAAAGAAGAAATGCAGGTGGGGCAAGATGGCTTACGCCTGTAATCCCAGCACTTTGGGAGGCTAAGGTGGGTGGATCACCTGAGGTCAGGAGTTCAAGACCAGCCTGGTCAACATGGTAAAACCCGGTCTTTACTAAAAATACAAAAATTATATGGGTGTGGTGGTGGATGCCTGCAATTCCAGCTACTCGGGAGGCTGAGGCTGGAGAATCACTTGAACCTGGGAGGTGGAGGTTGCAGTGAGCTGAGGTCAGGCCATTGTACTCCAGCATGGGCAACAAGAGCAAAACTCTGTCTCGGGGAAGAAAAAAAGACTAAACTGTAAACCTAAAATTATCATGTGACCCAGCGATTCCATTCCTAGGTATAAACCCTAAATAATTGAAAGCAGGAACTCAAACAGATGCTTGTATATCAGTGTTCACTGCAGCCCCAGGAAGTGACTACTACAATCAACATCATCATTTCATAGATGAGGACCCCAGGGGGAAAGTGACCTGCCCAAGGCCACACAGCTAGTACCGGATGAAGCCTGAGCCCTTCGCCAGTCTGCCGTAGGGATGGACAAAGGTGGCAAACACATGAACAAAAGCAGAGAGGAGAGAGGAGGTGGGGCCATAGCTTCCCCTTCCACCAGCTGGGTGACACACATCGTCCCATTGTGGAACACATCTCTGTCACACACAGGGTAAATGGGACTATTCCCTGTGAATTATCTGCTAGCGTGAAGCGCCATCCATCTGCTCATTAACACAATAAAAAAAAAAAAATTATCAAAGGAGTCTTCTGACTCCCAGTCCCTGGGAGTCCAACAACGTAACTTGGAAACAACTCTTTATTAAGTCTGATCAAGGGCTCATTGTTCAGTAATTAGAAATCATGGCCTCTCCCTCCAGGCTTGGGGCTCATAAACAACAGTTGGATGAGCTTTTTATTCTGGTTGGACCAAAAACCTAGACAGATCCATTTCCTCCTAATTTACACCTGCTTCAATGGGGGAAAGCAGCAGGACGCTGAGTTTTTGCTCTGGGAGATCATTGGCTCCCCTGGCAGGCAAGAAATGAGGGAGGGAGAGATGCTGAAGTGAGCCCCTGCCTGAGACAGGACAAGGGCCTTAGGGACGGAGCATCAGCGCCAGGTCCAGGGCTAAGTGATATACAGAATCCCTGGTTCTCTCATTGAGGTTCCCATAGCAGCAGCGACGAGAAAGGGGCCTTGGAGACCACAGATGGGGCTGACTATCCAAAGACCCCTGAGGCCAGAAGAGGGCAGGTAGTGATGAGGGTCAGCTAGAATACCAGGTGATTCCTTCATCTCATCATTTAATAAATATTTATTGAGGACCTACTAAGTGCCAGCACTCTGCTAGGCATGGAGATCAGATTGCAAATAAAAAATACAGCGCCTGCTTGTAAAGATATCCCAGGTCAGTGGGGAGGGTGGTCCCCTCTGGAGGGGAAAGCAAACTCCAGACTCAGAGAGGGCATGCATCTGGTGAAGAGGGGGAGGGTGGAGGCGGAGGCCAAGCGGACCTCACCCCCTGAGCTGAGAACAGAAATGTCTTCCTTTTTCAAGAATCTCCGAGACGTGCCCCACAGCTGGAAATGCAACATGCAGACCCAGCTGTAGCCTCCAAGCTTCATCTTTCTTGTCCTCAATCTCTCACGTAATGGACGTTGGCACCCAAGAACAGGAAGTCCTAGGAAAAACAGGACAGGACAGGATGGTAAAGGGCATCCTCTACTCTGAAAAGATGCATTTACGATTGAAAGGGAACTCACGTCTTGGGAAACACAAGCTCTGCCAGAATCCAGGTCAGTGCATAAATTGCGAGTATGCCTTGGTCCCCAAGGTCTCCATAAAGCACAGCTTTTCCCAACTGCCTTCTCTAAGGCAGAGATTGATTTGTCATTCCCTGAGCTGCTGCTGCCTGACAGGCCTCTCAGTGTCCTTTGTGTCACCTAAATTTTCTCTTCTTAGCAAATAACGAAAACTTGAGAACTGCTGGGGTATACTCTCCTGCTCTTCTTATGTTTCTGTCACCCAGAAGGGCAGGAATTCTGAACCAAAGGCCAAGTTCAGTTCTTTCCCACAGTGATCCATCCTTTGTTTTCGGTGGTTTGACACCTGGGCAGAGTTGACCTCAAAATTCTAATGAATATGATAATATATAACAAATCTAATTACTTTCCGTGTGTCAAACATTGAGCTAGAAGCGATCACACTTGCTCTTTAATCATCACAAAAGCCCAGTGACGTTTCTAGGTTCCTAGTCATCCCCCCGTCCTTCATTCCCTTTAATGCCTATTATTTTCTGATGTTAACGATGTACCAGTCACAGCGCAGCATCCCCTTCCTGCTAACGAGTCTGCCAACCCAGTTCATTTCACCTCAAAAGATAACCTGAAAACTGGGAGCACAGATAGATCACAAAACGCCTGGTCAGAATAATAGTTTGAGCAGTGAAAAATCAGACATATTTCTTGATATTAAAATAGTTTTTAAGTTAAGCTTTAAAAAGAACCTTAAGTTAAAAAAAATTTTAAGTTTACAAAAAGGGAAAGAAAAAAACAGTTATGAGCACTAGTAATGCAACTGGGCAAAACAAACAAACAAACTTAAAATCCTTAAAACAAAAAGCACTAGAAGTACACCAAAATTCAAACTGTGGTTGTAGTGAAGCAATAGGTTTATGAATAACTTTTTCTTTTATTTTTTGGAGACGAAGACTCACTCTATTGCCCAGGCTTGAGTGCAGTGGCGTGATCTCGGCTCACTGCAATCTCTGCTGCCCAGGTTTGAGCAATTCTCTTGCTTCAGCCTCCTGAGTAACTGGGATTACAGGCACCTGCCACCGGTGGTGCCTGTAAAAAAAATAAGCCTGGCTTATTTTTTTATTTTTTTATTTTTTTGAGACAGAGTCTCACTCCATCACCAGGCGCCAGGCTGGAGTGCAGTGGTGTGACCTCGGCCTACTGCAACCTCCACTTCCTGAGTTCAAGCAATTCTCCTGCCTAAGCCTCCCGAGTAGCTGGGACTACAGGCCCACGCCACCATGCCCAGCTAATTTTTTTGTATTTTTAGTAGAGATGGGGTTTTACTGTCTTGGCCAGACTGGTCTTGAACTCCTGACCTTGTGATCCACCCGCCTTGGCCTCCCAAAGTTCTGGGATTACAGACGTGAGCCACTGTGCCTGGCCTATGAATAATTTTTTAGTGTATATAGCGTTGGCTGGACACCGTGGCTCATGCCTATAATCCCAGCACTTTGGGAGGCCGAGGCAATCGGATCACTTGAAGCAAGGAGTTTGAGACCAGCCTGGCCAGCATTGTGAAGCCTCATTTCTACCAAAAATACAAAAAAAAAAAAAAAAAAAAAAAATAGTTGGGAGTGGTGGCAGGAGCCTGTAGTTCCAGCTAATCCAGAGGCTCAAGCACAAGAATCTCTTGAACCCGAGACGTTGCAGTGAGCCAAGATTGTGCCACTGCACTCCAGCCTGGGTGACTGAGCGAGACTCTGTCTTAAAAAAAAAAAAATGTATTTATAGTAGTAGTACTTGTTTAAATGGGGAGGCATGCCAAACATATATTTACAATAACGTCTTCAACCTAAAAATTTAGAAGAAAAACTTAAAACTTACAAGTGGCTTTCAGAACCTGACCTAATGCTATGCCTAGGACTTATAGTATTTTCTTTTTGGTGGAGTCTCGCTCTGTTGCCCAGGCTGGAGTGCAGTTGTGCGATCTCAGCTCACTGCAACCTCCACCTCCCAGATTTAAGCAATTCTCCTATTTCAGCCTCCCAAGTAGCTGGGATTATAGTTGCCCCCCACCACGCCTAATTTTTGCATTTTTAGTAGAGACAGGTTTCACCATGTTTGGCCAGGCTGGTCTTGAACTCCTGACCTCAGGTGATCCACCTCCTCAGCCTCCCAAAGTGCTGGGATTACAGGCGTGAGCCACTGCTCCCAAGCTGCAGTATTTTCAAAACGAGCTGGTCTTGAGCTTTCCTCACGACCCTCATAGTGGGGGTGAGAGGTGGTGGTGGCACAGGGCTGTGTCAAATGCCACCTGCAATGGCAGAGGGGCCACTTCCGAAGGGCACATGGATGGCTTTGTGGTATATGGCAAGGCCCAGGAGCACCGGTTCTGCCCCAGTCAGACTTTCTCAGCTGCAGGGGTGGGCTGGGTGTCACCCATGAGTCATAGCCTCTGAAGCTAGCATGTGAACCACCTGCCCCCTGACATATCCTCAGAGCCCCCTGAACCCGCTGACCTTATGGATCTGGAGCCCAAGGTCGTAGAGCTGAACCTGCTTCAGCAGAGGGAGGGAGAAGCCTTCGGTCAACTTATCTGGAGGTTGAAGCACAACATTGAGAGAGATTGGTGAATAAGTAATAATTAGAGACAGATTTTTACTGAAAATGTTGTTCTCTGCAAACTCTATATTCAGTATATCCCCATTTAATGATTACCAAGACTATGAGGTAGGTGTGCTTATTCTTTCCATTTTACAGATAAGGAAACTGAGGCACAGAGTGGCCAAGTAACTTGTTCTAGGTCACACAGTTAGGAAGTGGCAGAACTGGGATTTGAACCCAGGGAGGCTGACTTGGGAGCCTAAGCTGCCAGGCATGGTGCTGTCTGGAGAAAGCACACATTCAAGATAAGATAAGGAACAGGGCATCCACTCCCTGCCCTTTGCCCTGTCCTGCTCTCTGTTGCAGCCAAAAGAAGCAAAGCTTCATGGAAACAGGGTTTAAGTCTTTTGTTTTCTTCTCTGACTAGGCAGTTGGGCAATTGACTGGGAGATGTGAGATCAGAGGCGGCTGCCTTGTGCCTTCTATATTAACTTGGTCCTCAGTCTTTCAGCTGCCTCTTCAGGACATGGGGCATTTCCATGTGTCCCTCTTTCCTGCTTATAAGGAGGTTTCTCATGCCCCAAAGAGCTGTCCCAGCCCCCAACCCTCATTAGAAACCTGGAGGGAGATGAGGCCAACTTCAGTGATTCCATGTCACAGTCAGGCTGCTAAGCTCAGAGAGAAGTGACTTGCGCATGGTCACACAGTCCCCAGGAGAGCCCTGTTTTCCAAGTCCAACTCTCTTTCCTCCAATGTCCGCTTTTGACTTGGCAAAATCCACAGTGATTCTTACCGTTGAACTTGGGGTAGAGGTTGTTGAGGATGTAGTAGTTGAGGATCGCTTCCAGCAGCTCTGCCTGGAGGAGAGCAGGAGAGGCACGCTGCACATTGCCACGCGGCCACCCTGGGGGTGGGGCGGCTCTGTGTGTGCCAACATAGCAAAACACTTGGAAAAAGCAAACTATTAATACCTCATGCTACTATTTTATGAGATAAAACTCTTTTGAGATGAACATTTACTATGCAAGTAAATAGAAGAATTTTAGAAAGTTACACACCCAACTGTCTTTCCTCTAAAGAAAGAGCATCAACATGTGACTTGTCCTTAGCCTTATCATTAGTATTCAATTTTATTTACAGTGAGAATGCTTTTCCTGAACTTCTTGTATAATTTTAAAATTTTTAATAGAAACAAAATAAGCTTTTCTACCAAAATCATGAAACACAACTTTTAACCCCCACTATCTGCCAGGCAGAGAACTCAGAGCTTTATGCGTATGTCTGATTCAATCTTCACCACAACCCCTCAAAGTTCATATTAATGTCCCCATTTCACATATCAGGAAACTGAGGCCCACAGAATGAAAGGGACTTACAAGAAACTGGGCAGTAGCATCAGGACTTGAATGTAAATTTATCTGAGTCTATAGTTCTTGTTTTTACATTTCATGTTCTGAAAACCTGATAGGATGGATTTTTGTGAAACTTTTTACTTGCATGTTTTACTTTGCAGTAAACATGCACAGATACAATACGAACGCGCCATTGTTCACTCCACCCTTTATTTTCTGAAAGGAGCCATCCTCAGTGTCCCTCTGTCTCTCCCCACAGCTTCTGTGTTTGTTTCTATTTCATAAGTGCTTTGGGAAAGTCTGGGAGGCAGCGCACAGGTGGAGGTGCACATTAAAGTCTACCCGGCTCCTCCTTTCCTCTTTCCAGAAAGCTCTTCTCCACCGCTTCAGCTCACACTGATCTTCATATTCTCTTTCCTCCTTTTATTTTATTTAATTAAAAATTTTTTTGAGACAGAATTTCTTTCTTGTTGCCTAGGCTGGAATGCAGTGGCGTGATCTTGGCTCACTACAATCTCTGCCTCCTGGGTTCAAGTGATTCTCCTGGCTCAGCCTCCTGAGTAGCTGGGATTACAGGTGCCCGCCACCACGCCTGGCTAATTTTTTTGGATTTTTAGTAGAGATGGGGTTTCACTATGTTGGCCAGGCTGGTCTCGGTCTCAAACTCCTGACCTTGTGTTCTGCTCACCTTGGCCTCCCAAAGTGCTGGGATTACAGGTGTGAGCCACCTGGTTGCTTTCCTCCTTTTATATGGGGCCATCTACTTCACCGCTTTTTCTACCTTGTGGAAATCACTTCTTGCTTTTACCTGCCCAGCACTCAATTCCTCTTGTTTCGGTAACAGTCTACCTCCTCCCAGGGAACAACCCTCCTCGCCAATCTTAGTCCATAGGATTTGGATGTAGCTGACTGCAAATCCTGCCTCCTGGAGTGTAGATGAGATCCACACTGGGCCAACTGGCCTTGTCCAACTTCTGGCCACAGTGCTTGGCTTAAGACTGGGTGCCTGAGATTAGTACAATGAGAGCTAGCACAGGGATTTTTTTTTTTTTTATTTTGTTAATTTTTTAAAAAGAAACTGAAACCGTAGAAAACTCAGGGGCTTGCCACCGATTCCAAGAGGTGCCTGAGAGTGAAATGAACACAAATGAAAACAGAACAGAGAGATGGAGAGAGATTCTTGAGGCACTAATTTGAACACCTGGATCCAGCTATGCCTGAAACCTCCGGTCTTCGGTTTTTTTTATTTTTACTTTTCAGTTATATAATCCTACATATTTCTCCTCTTTGTGTAAGATGATTTCCATTGGCTTTCTGTCTCTTCCAGTTAAAAGAATTCTGTCCAGTAGATGACTTAATTATATATTGTTTTATATTAGGATATAACTGTTCTTTGGCCCTGTGTCTTGTGTTTTCAAGGCCTTCTACACTTCTCCAGGGCAAAAATCAACTCTTCTCCTTTTGAATTTCCTATTATAGGTGCCATAGCAATTGCTTAGGAAACACCCCAAATTAATTAACATTCTAATCGTGTCATCAATAAAACAACAACTTACATTGAATACTCCAGCTTTGGATTCTTTCAGTTCCACTTTTACCCTATAATGAATCAGAGAAGATTCAGAGGTGTGGGCTTAATGCAAGTCTAAGCAATATGGGGGTCCCCAGAAGTGGGAAAGGATGGGCTTGAGAAGGCACAGGGCCAAAGGCCGGGTGGGAGCAGGAGTGGAAAAGATGACTGAGTAACTAAAAGCAGTAATTCAATGACATCGGGAAGACTGTCAGAGGGCGATTGGGTAGTGTCAAAAAGCTCACTCTATCATTTCAGGAAGTTAATATAGCTGGCATCTAAAATTCACAGATGAAAAAGTAACAGTCTTAGTGAATTCTTTAATAATTTGAAATTTGTGGGGGCAGGACCAGTGGGGCAGGAGAATTGGGCCAACTGGGGTGACATGTAAGTGTCCTTTCCAAATGGTGTCCCCCCCACCGCCCTGCCACCAGTTACAGAGAAGCAGCTACAGTATATAGATGGAGCCCAGCTGGGAACCCCCTTGTGGGCAGGAGGCCAACTTACTTTCCTGGCTTCAGGAACCCAGTGATCTTGCTGGTGTTGAAGGTCAAGATGGCAGACACATTAGTGGCCTGGAAATGCCGATAGAAGGAAACAGGTGTAAGTGATGGAGCTTGTATGTACAGGAAGGGTGATGATGAGGGACCAACTGTCTCCTCTCAACAAACAGCTCAGTGAGCTAAAGCAGGTAATTTGCCCACTAGATTATAGACTCTCAGAAGGCTCACTGTGGGTGCTCAATCAATGTTTGAACTTGGACGTGAACATTTTTATTTGAAATTGTCCATGATAGCAGTTAAACTTTGAACAGACTACTAAGAGAAGGTATAGAGTACCTACCCATGGAAAGCTCTAAAAAGGATCATTTCTAGTTATCTCAGGTCAAGACTCAGCCCTAGTAACAACAACAATAATAAATTATCATTATTATTTTAGAATCTCTCTAAAAGTGAGTGCAATCATGGCTCACTGCAGCCTTGAACTCCTGGGCTCAAGTGATCCTCCCATGTCACCCTCCTAAGTAACGAGGACTACAGGTGCATGCCACTATGCCTGGCTATTTTTTTTCTTTTTTGTAGCAATGGAGTCTTGCTATGTTGCCCAGGCTGGTCTCAAACCCCTGGCCTCATGCGATTCTCCTGCCTGGACCTCTCAAAGTGCTGAGATTACAGGTGTGAGTCACCACACCCAGATGATAAATTATATTTTAGTTTAAAATATATTAATAAAGACCCTTTTGATAACAATAACAATATTAAATTGCAGATATAGCATCTAGGAAGAATTACCCTGTCAGAGATTTGACTTTTTTTTAAAAATTTTTAATTTTTCTTTTTTTGAGATGGAGTTTCACTCTTGCTGCCCAGGCTGGAGTGCAATGGTGCCATTTCAGCTCACTGCAACCTCTGCCTCCTGGGTTTAAGCGATTGTCCTACCACAGCCTCCCCAGTAGCTAGAATTACAGGCATGCACCACCATACCCAGCTAATTTTTTGTATTTTTAGTAGAGACGGGGTTTCACCATGTTGGCCAGGCTGGTCTTGAACTCCTGACCTCAATTGATCCACCTGCCTCGGCCTCCCAAAGTGCTGGGATTACAGATGTGAGCCACCAAGCCTGTCCAGATTTGACTTGTTGATTTCAAAAGTCAAAAAACAAGAGAGCAGAGTTCTTCATCCAGAGAGCAGGGCCCCCAAAGGACTCAGCATCTCTTCCCTATTAGACAGAGTCCATCGAAAAAGGAAAACTCACTCTCAATGTTTAATGCAGAGGGAATTTAATACAGGGAATTGGTTATACAAGTGATGGAATTGTTGAGAAGCTAGTAAAGCATTGGTGAGGCCACCCGGAGATTAGCACAGACAGGAGGCTGTATCCACCCCAGGACTAGAGGAACAAAGAGTGGAGTTGGAATTATGGAAGTCACCATGGAGGAGACACAGTCACAGCCTGAGCCTCTGCCCGCCACAAAGAAAGAGGAAAAAAAATACTCTGGCTTCATCTTTCCTCCCCGCCTCCATTCTCCTGACAGTACCTCCCATTGGCTGACCTGGGTGGAAATCAGAGCGCAAGGAAGCATGGGAAATGTAGTCTTCCAGGATCAAATACAGACAAAGAACAGAGCAAATCGACAAAGACCCGAATACCTTCCTCCCCACAATAGCCCAGACTCACGTAGTGAGAGATACATGCGTTAAACAAATACACCTGCAGACAGCTACAAAGTACCTTTGTAGTAAACACCCAGAAAAAAGATAATGAAATGCTAAGGAAAAAGTGGCAAGCGGTGTAAGGTAGATTGGGGGTAAGAGCCAGCAAGAAAGGCCTCTCTCGGGAAGTAGAATTTAAGTTAAGAACTGGAGGAATTATTCAGATGGTGAGTGGGGAGAAAAGCATGTGAGGAAAAGGGAACAGCATTTGCAAAGGCTCTGAACCTTACCACACTGAGCCGGAAGACAAGCTCCTTGCTGGAGCTGGGCGGGAGTACAAAGGCGTCTATCTCCATATAGGGCTCCACAGACACATTCCCCGGGCTGAAATTCAGGAGCGGGGCAGAGGTCACTGATCCCTGGAGCTCCAAGTTCATGTTGGGGTAGAGCCTGGCTAACTGGGAGCAGAATTAGGAGATTACATCAAGAGAAGAAAATATGTAAGTCTGCTGGAGAGGCCTGTGGGAGTCAGATCAAGCTGGGAGTTGCTTTTGGTTGATTTTATTTCCCACAAAATTCTCTGTGCCTTTTTCTCTTAACTGCAACACTGGCCAGCTCTCCATGTCAGACGCAGAGTCTGCACCATCTATTTCACAGTTTCGTTGTATTCCACTGTATATGGGTCCTGCGATGGATTAAACACTATTGGGCATCAAGTTGTCTCCAAGGTTTTGTCATTATAATGACCAGCTCCTTGTGAGCGCCCTTGGCTATTATTTTCAGGAAAACATTCCTAGAGGAGGAATTGCTGAGTTGAAGGGCAGCAATGATTTTTTTTTTTTTTTTTCGAGATGGAGTTTTTGCTCTTGTCACCCAGGCTGGAGTGCAATGGCACCATCTTGGCTCACTGCAACCTCTGCCTCCTGGGTTCAAGCGATTCTCCTTCCTCAGCCTCCCAAGTAGCTGGGATTACAGGCACGTGCCACCATACCAGGCTAATTTTGTATTTTAAGTAGAGACAGGGTTTTACCATGCTGGCCAGACTGATCTCGAACTTCTGACCTCAGGTGATCTGCCCTCCTCGGCTTCCCAAAGTGCTGGGATTACAGGCATGAGCCACCACACCTGGCCAGCAATGCTTTTAAAGCTTTCAGCAGGTATTGCCAAATTGTTCTCCCGAAAAGTTGGGCCCATTTTTTTCTCCCTCCCTGCCTCTCCCGAGGCTGTCGGGGAGCCCTGCTGGTTCTCCATCCCCTCATCACACTCTGCTAATTGGGCATGCAGAAGTCAGAAGCCAGTGTTTTTGAAATATGACACAGCTGGATTCCATCATTTCTTTTAAAAAATATTTAATTTTCTCTTATTATTCTTTTAATATGATAATCCACAGAACATTTCTGTTTTCTTTTAAAACTTTCTTTCTAAAACAGAGACAGGGTCTTGCTATGCTGCCCAAGTTGCTCTTGAACTCCGGGCCTCAAGCAGTCCTCCTGCTTTGGCCTCTCAGAGTGCTAGGATTATTGGCGTGAGCCACCACAGCCAGCCCTAGATCCCACCATTTCAAAAAGGCTCTTAAGCTTCTGTGTAACTAGAGATAGGCGTAGAGTTTTATTTGGGGCAAGACTCTTCCTTTTTAGGAGGATATTGGTGGAAAAACGATACTCCCATGAGCCTTTTGGTTACGTAAACCTAAAACCTACAGCCTCTTCTAGAAGGGAGACATTTGGAAGGCTGAGGGGGTAAAATGCTTCACCCAGCAGAGGGGCAGAGTTGCTTTTCCAAGCATTTTGGATAAGAGATACTGAACCTGTATATACATAGAATATCATCAGAAAGGTACGCATAATCTGGTAATATTGGTAAACTTGAGATGGGAAGTGGGTGGTTAGGGGACAGGAGTAGATGTGGGACTCTACTCTATAATCTTTTATATCTTTTGAATGTTGAACCATGAGAATTTATTATCCATCCAAAGAATATATATATATATATATATATATATATACACACACACACACACACACACACACATATATATGCGTGTATATATATAAATATATAAATATATTTAGAGACAAAGTCTCACTCTGTAGCCAGGCTGGAGCGCAGTGGTGTGATCTTCATTGCAAGCTTCACCTCTTGTGCTCAAACGATTCTCCTTCCTCAGCCTCCCGAGTAGCTGGCTCAACAGGCTGGTGCCACCACCATGCCTGCCTAATTTTTGTATTTTTAGCAGAGATGGGGTTTCAGTATTGAAATTGGTCAGGCTGGTCTTGAACTCCTGACCTCGTGATCCAACTGCCTCGCCTTTCAAAGTGCTGGGATTACACGCATGAGCCACTGTGCCCAGCCCAAAAGCTAATATTTTTAATAATTTTTTTTGAGACAGGGTATCACTCTGTTGCCCAGGCTGGAGTGCAGTGGTGCAGTCACAGCTCACTGCAGCCTCAACCTCCCAGGCTGAGGTGATCCTCCCACCTCAGCCTCCCTGGTGGCTAGGACTTGAGCTGTGTGCCACCATGCTGGGCTACTTTTTGTATTTTTTGTAGAGATGGGGTTTTGTTATGTTGCTCAGGCTGGTCTTCAACTCCTGGGCTTGAGCAATCCGCTCACCTTGGCCTCCCACAATGCTGGGATTACAGGCATGAGCCACCATGACTGGCCAAAAAGTTAATTTTTTAAAGCACCAAGAACATGCCTGGAGCCTAGGAAGCCCTCTATAATTGTTAGTTCCTATTCATAAGGGTACTTTTTTTTTTTTTTTTGAGATGGAGTCTCGCTCTGTCACCCAGGCTGGAGTGCAGTGGCATGATCTCGGCTCACTGCAACCTCTGCTTCCCAGGTTCAAGCGATTCTCCTGTCTCAGCCTCCCTACTAGCTGGGACTACAGGCGCGCGTCACCACGTCCAGCTAGTTTTGTGTATTTTAGTAGAGACAAGGCTTCACAATGTTGGCCGGGATGGTCTTGATCCCCTGACCTTCTGATCCACCTGCCTTGGCCTCCAAAAGTGCTGGGTACATTTTATGGAATATGCCAGCATTCCTTGGGATTCTTAGATAACACCAATAAAGGATTAGACAAGATGTGGTTCCACAAAATGTGGGGCTCAGCCTCTGTTATTTGGGCTTTAAAGGGAGCAGTACCCCAGCCTTCAGTGGGAGTCTCATCCCGGCCCTCTGACTCTTGGCCAAGCTGAGAGAAATGCAGAGGTTTTAAAGAGAAACCTCTGGAATCTAATGGGCTCAGTCTGCACTCATGGGGAACTCAGGGACGCCTTACCCGTGGGACGAAGGGTCGGAAGGACTTGGTGGTCAGTCGGATATTAGAGTCGGGCGGTATCTGCAGCAAAGAGACACGAAGTGTCAGGGTGCTCTTGCTGGAGCTGAAGGTCTAAAGAGGACTGGGGAGGCGCCGCGGTGTGCAAGCCTGTCACTTCTCCACGGCCTAGGTTACCCTGGCAGGGTTGAGATGCCTGTCCTGCATTCACCCAAGCAGAGCACATGGGTGCCCAGCGTCCTGCCTGCTCTCCCAGGGTGGAGCTGAGGTGTGGGTCCCACTCCGAGGGTCTGCAAGTGTGAAGTTTGCAGTCACACAGACCTCGGTTTGTGTCCTGACTTTGTGATCTCAGACCAGCCCTTTCATCTCCCTGAACCTCAACTTCCTCATCCATAAAATGGGGATAATAGCCCCCACCTTCAAGTCACTGTGAGGGCTAAATGAACATCTAGCACAAGGCCCCGCATATGGTGAGCACCCCATGAAACGCAGCTGTTATCATCCCACAGAAAGAGAGGCCTGTGTCGCAGGTAGGATGGATAAACCAAACACCATGCCACAAGCCAACGCCTGTGCAGGTGTGGGAGGCCATTTGAAGGACAAAACGACCCTCCATCTACCAGACAGTCCTGGATTGACACCAGGGGAGGCTGGGCCGTCCGAGCCCAGCCACACGGTTGCTCCCACTCCCCTGACATTGTTCATGAGGCCTCAACTTTGATGAAGTGCTTCAAGAAACAACTTTTTGAAACCCAGAAGTATGAGATAAACTGGAGAACCATTAAAGGGATGACCCGCTATAACATTCAGTCTTCTCTATACAAAGCCACATTGGAAACAGTTGTTTTGGGGGTGTGAGAAAGACTGTCTCTCCTTTTCAGTGTGAATCATGAAATCATATATCCTTTTCGCTTTAGCTACAAGGAAGCTCCCTGATAGGTTTGAGATGTTAAAGAAATTAATTTATGGGCTCAGCGTCTTCATAATTGTGCTTTATTTTTCAATTGGTCTTTATTTCCTTTTCTCTGAAACTAAATGCATTTATCGGTGCATGTATTATCCTGCCTCATTCACTGAAAAAAATATATATATATATATATTTTGGAGATAGAGTCTCACTCTGTTGCCCAGGCTGCAGTGCAATGTGAGATCCTGGCTCATTGCAACCTCCGCCTCCTGGGGTTAAGAGATTCTCCTGCCTCCGCCTCCCATATAGCTGGGATTACAGGCATATGCCGCCATGCCCTGCAAATTTTTGTATTTTTAGTAGAGACAGGGTTTTGCTATGGTGGCCAGGATGGTCTTAAACTCCTGACCTCAGGTGATCTGCCCACCTCGGCCTCCCAAAGTGTTAGGATTACAGGTGTGAGTCACTGCACCCGGCCTCATTCACTAAAATATTTTTAGAAATATTTTAGTAATCAGAAATCATCAGGATGAAAGGAAATATGAATTAGACTAACAAGTCTAGACTAGAAAACAGGCCTAGAAAAGTAAAACACAGAAAAGCAAGCTGCAAAGTCTTCCACGGTTGTTATAAGGCAGAAAGAACTTTTTTCTTTTTGAGTCAGAGTCTCACTCTGTCACCCAGGCTGGAGTGCAGTAGCACGATCTTGGCTCACTGCAACCTCCACCTCCTGGGTTCAAGTGATTCTCCCACCTCAGCCTCCTGAGTACTTGATATTACAGGTGTGCACCACCATCACACCTGGCTAATTTTTGTATTTTTCGTAGAGACGGGGTTTGGCCATGTTGGCCAGGCTGGTCTCGAACTCCTGACCTCAAGCAATCTGCCCACCTCAGGCTCCCAAAGTGCTGGGATTATAGGCGTGAGCCACTGTGCCCGGCCAAGGGAGAAATAACTTTGGCTTTGAGTTTCCTGGCCACTGAAGTAAAAAGGGAGATTGTGCTAACATACTTTTCCTGGTCTTGATTTTTCTCTTAGCTATAACTTAGTATTTTACTGATGTCAACAGGGGTGAAAGGAAAGAAGGAAGAAGCAGTGGGTCCCATGCTCATTCGAGAGACCTATTTGCCACCATCCTCACCATGTCATCTGTGATGGAGAAGTTCAGATGCCCTTCCTGGTGGTAAACCAGGCTGGCTGTGTTGAAGACATAATCCGAGACAGCAAAGTAGACCATTTTGTCGTGTTCCTCAGGAAGGCTTATGACGGGAGCAGGGAGGGCAACTGGGGAATGGTGGTTACGATGGAAGATTTCACCCTGGAGAGGGAAGTAGGGTCCAGTTGGACGTTTCAAAGCCTGTCCTGGGGCTGGGGCTAGGTGTTTCCCTACACAGTCTGATGAAAGGCTGCTGGCTGCGGCACTGCCTGAAACTCCACCATTAAAGCAGTGCTGTCTTTTAATGAAGAGCTCCCTAGAAGCTTTTCTATATTAACCCACAGGATATCCTGGTCAGCCCCTCTATATGCCCTAGGCCCATCTACACCCCCTAGGCCCTGCTCTGATTGGCCTTTTCTGCATGATGGGCAAGGCAAAGTAGGGGAAGGAGGAGGAGGGAGGCGTTAAGACCTGAGAGGTGTAAGGCACCCATGGGGAATCCTAGCTCTGGGAACACTCCCCACCACTCCATATAGCCCGGCCCTCGACACAGCGGGAACCACTGGGAAGACAAGGACAGATCTGAAGTTAGGGGGACAGCTGGCCTAGGGAATGGCTGACCCTGGGGGAAAGCCTCACCCACCCAGCCCGGCCCCAGGACGCTCACCTTAAACATCACCTCCAGCATCTGGGCTGTTGCTCGAGGGGCTTCCACTAAGCTGTAATCAATGCCGGCGAAACTGTCAATCTCTTTTGTAACTGTGAACCAGGACAGGGCAGAATTAGAGGCCAGGTGCCGCTTTCAGCTGCTGGAGGAGGGGCGAGGGCTCTGGCTGACTCACATTCCCTGTGACCTTCTTCAGACTCCCCCTACCAGCTGGGCCCGAGGCAAAGAAGTGCTTCTTCAAGAGACTACATGGGTTCCCTTGGGGAAGTTAACAGTGTTGGGGTGTTATGCTCAGTTTAGGGCCTAAGCAGTTTCCAGACACACACACACACACACACACACACACACACACACACACACACACACGAGTCCAGGCTTCACCTCTCCAGCCACACCTGGAGCTTAATGCTGAACCAATAACCAGGAAGGTCAGGCAGGGTGCGTCCAGAGGGCCCAGACACTCCCCTCCAAAGCCCCGAATGAACGAGTGTTCCAAGTCCCAGTACTGGGTTGCCGACTTGGACCTCTGGTAAAGGTGTTGTCAACAAGTAACCACATGGCGGCTTGGGAGCCCAGGCATCAGAGAACACCTCAGATAATTGATCAGAGTCTCCCCCTCCACACCGAATGTGTGCACCCTGGATCCAGGGACTCCACTTGTAGATGGCTCCCTGTAGCCCTGTTGGCATCAGCAAGGGAAAGGCAGACACCGAAACGTCCATCAGTGGGGACTTATTAAATAAACAAAGACACATCCATGTAATGGAATACTACATAGCTGTTAACATAATAAGGTCTGTTACAACCACTTTGGGAAACTTTTTGCCAGGATCTGATAATATCGAATCTGGGCATGTCACATGAATCTGCAATTTCACTCCCAGGTATATACCGAAAGACGTGTGACCACAGGCACTAGGATATTCATAGTAGTGCATGGGCTAAAACTGAACACCACCCCCAGATGGCCTTCAATAATAGAATGGACAAAAATATGGAGCAACATCTACATGGTGGTATAGTACGCAGCAAGGAGAATGAACCAGCTACACTACAGGTGCATGCAACAATATGCATTGACCTCATGTTTTATTTTATTTCAGTTTTTTTGAGATAGGGTCTCACTCTGTGGCCCAGGCTGGAGTGCAGTGGCACAATTTAAGCTCACCCGTGCCTTGAGCTCCTGGGCTCAAGTGATCCTCCCACCTCCCAAGTAGCTGGGACTACAGGCGCATGCCACTACGCTTGGCTAATTTTTGTATTTATTGTAGAGACAGGGTTTCACCATGTTGCCCAGGCTGGCTTTGAATGCCTGAACTCAAGTGATCCTCCCTCACTGGCCTCTCAAAGTGCTGGGATTACAGGTGTGCACCACCACTCCTGGCCTGATCTCATATTTTATTTTATTTATTTATTATTTATCATTATTATTATTTTTGAGACAGAGGTTTGCTCTGTCACCCAGGCTGGAGTGCAGTGGTGCAGTCTCGGCTCACTGCAACCTCTGCCTCCCGGGTTCAATCAATTCCCTGCCTCAACCTCCCAAGTAGCTGAGATTATAGGTGCCTACCACCATGCCTGGCTAATTTTTGTATTTTTTGTAGAGATAGGGTTTTACCATCTTGGTCAGGCTGGTCTTGAACTCCTGCCCTCATGATCCACCCACCTTGGCCTCCCAAAATGCAGGGATTATAGTCATAAGCCACAGCTCCCAGCCTATTATTATTATTATTATTATTATTATTATTATTTTGAGACAGTCTTGTTCTGTTGCCCAGGCTGGAGTGCAGTGCTGAGATCTCGGCTCATTGCAACCTCTGCCTCCCAGGTTCAAGTGATTCTCCTGCCTCAGCCTCCTGAGTAGCTGGGATTACAGGTGCCCACCATGACGCCTGGCTAATTTTTGTATTTTTAGTAGAGATGGGGTTTCACCATGTTGACCAGTCTGGTCTCGAACTCCTGACCTCAGGTAATCCACTCGCCTCGGCCTCCCTAAGTGCTGGGATTAAAGGTGTGATCCACCGCACCCAGTCCTGACCTCTTATTTTAAAGTTGAACAAAGAAAGCCTTCTGGCTTTTGAAAAGAGACTCAAAATATGTCTGATTCCATTCATGTGCAAAGTGCAAAACTAATCTTTGCTGGTAGAAGTTGGGAGGGTGGTGACCCTAGAGGGCTGGGTAGTGATCGAGGGGGACACCAGGGGCTCCGAAAAACCAGCCATGTTCTGTTTCTTGATTGGGAGCAGGTTACATGCATGTGAAAACTCTTTAACTATACACTTATGATTTGAGTACTTTTCTCTATAAATATACCTCAATCAAAAGTTTTGAAAAATTAAATCAGGCTGGCATGGTGGCTGGCTCCTGTCAGTACTTTGGGAGGCTGAAGTGGGTGGGTCACTTTAGCCCAGGAGTTCGAGACCAGCCTGGGCAACACCGAGAAACCCTGTCTCTACAAAAAATACAAAAAAGTAGCCGAGTGTGATGGCAAGGAACCTGTGGTCCCAGCTACTCAGGTGGCTGAGGCAGGAGGATCACTTGAGCTCAGGAGGTTGAGGCTGCAGTGAGCCGAGATCACACCACTGCACTCCAGCCTGGGCCACAGAGTGAGACCCTGTCTCAAAAAAAAGAAATCTAGAACAATGTCTATACTATGTATATGAACATACATATTTATAATTATGCAAATACACATAGACTCATGAACAAAATAGTACATATGTGAATGTCTATTCAAATGCTTACATATATTTATATTTATACATGCAAATAAATTATCTGAAAAGATACATTCAAACAAGAGGTTACTTCTTGGAAGAAAAGTTGGGGAGAAAAAGCAACTTTCAATTTTTACTTTTTTTTCTTTTTTTGAGATGGAGTTTCGCTCTTTGTTGCCTAGGGTGAATTGCAATAGCATGATCTTGGCTCACCGAAACCTCTGCCTCCCAGATTCAAGCAATTCTCCTGCCTCAGCCTCTCAAGTAGCTGGGGTTACAGGCATGTGCCACTATGCCCAGCTAAGTTTGTATTTGTAGTAGAGATGGGGTTTTGCCATGTTGGTCTAGCTGGTCTCGAACTCCTGGCCTCAGCTAATCCGCCCATCTCGGCCTCCCAAAGTGCTGGGACTGCAGGTGTGAACCACCACGCCCGGCCCTTAATTTTCACTTTCTATATTTCTGTCCCATTTGCTATTTTATAAGGTACACATATGATGTTATAGAAATTAACAGAAATAAAGTGTCCCAGGTCGGTGGGGTGTCCTACCTGGCAGAGTTTGGAGATAAGGCTGTAGATTGGAGGACACTGATTTCTGTATCATTTCACAGATCTGAAAAAAATGGGAAGAGAATGCCTGAGTGAGTTCCCCGGCTCTGGTCTGGCATGGTGCTGATGACTGCAGCCACATTATTTCATATGTATGCTATGTGATCATTGATTTACAAATGTTTATAAGTGCTTGCCATCGGCTAGGTACCAAGGAAATGGAAACAATAAAAATATGTAGGCTCCCATGTGGACTCCACTAGGGTCCAATTGGACTTTTCAAAGTCTGTCCCAAGACGGGACTTCCGAGCTAGGGAGTCACTGACACAGCCAGAGGAGGGGGCGCTGGCTGGAGACAGTGCCTAAAACTCCACCATTATAGACAAAGTTTTCCTTTGGGAGGTCCTGGCCTCTCAGAATTTAGAGTTTAATAGCAAAACTAGACACTAACTAGAAATAATCACACAAATGAACATACAGTTAATGTAGGTAACTCTTTTTTTTGTTTGTTTTTGAGACGGAGTTTCACGCTTGTCACCCAGGTTGGAGTGAAATAGCGCGATCTCAGCTCACTGCAACCTCTGCTTCCTGGGTTCAGGCGATTCTCCTGCCTCAACCTCCCGAGTAGCTGGGACTACAGGTGTGCGCCACCACGGCCAGCTAGTTGTTGTAAATTTAGCAGAGACAGGGTTTCATTCACCATGTTGGCCAGGCTGGTCTTGAACTCCTGACCTCAGACAAACCACCTGCCTCTGCCTCCCAAAATGCTGGGATGACAGGCGTGAGCCACCGCTCTCGGTGTGTAAATAGTTCTTAATGGTCATCCTGAACAGGTTGGCTGGATTGATGAGTATTCCCCATTCCTGCTGGCACTCCCAGAAGACTGAATCTGGGGTCTGTAGGCCACTCACACACAATTGCCACCAGTTGTGTGGCCAGCTTCTCAAGAGAAGAAAATGTGCATTTCCAAACTTGATTGCTGTACTTGCTACTGTAATTACCCGAATTATTTATTATCCAGCCTTGGGATAGATTTTGAAAAGTCCAGCTGGACCCTGCTGAGGTCCACATGAAAGCCCTGCAGCCTGTTTGCTGCATGTGCTTTTGTAAGCACTAGAATAATTTATTATGTAAACTAATGCAATATAATTGAGAAAAGAGTTGTTTGTCTTTTTTTTTTTTTTTTTAATTAAGACACAATCTTGCTCTGTTACCCAGGCTGGAGTGCAATGTGCAATGGCATGATCTCAGCTCACTGCAACTTCCGGCTCCCGGAAGATTCAAGTGATTCTCCTACCTTCGCCTCCTGAGTAGCTGGAATTACAGGCATGCATCACCACACCCAGCTGATTTTTGTATTTTTAATAGAGACGGGGGTCTCACCACGTTGGCCAAGCTGGTCTCAAACTCCTGACCTCAAATGATCTACTCCTCTCAGCCTCCCAAAATTCTGGGATTACAGGCTTGAGCCACCACGTCCGGCCCCAGCTTAAAGGGTTCTTTCTATGAAAACCTAAGATAAATACTCTGGAAGGGTAAGGTGCTTAAAAAAAAAACAAACCCTCTAAAAACATAGTTAAATTTGGACCAGACAACAGAAAATCTTAGGAGGAAGAAAAAAAATAAGGCTCTAGAAGGATTCTACACTGGGATGACTTTGCAAGTGTCTTTAAATTCTCATTGCGGTCAATGAAGCCTAGTATAGAATTTGTAGCAGGTCAATGTTTTATGCAGGAAAGACCGTGGCAATGTCAATCAAGAGACCATTTTCAAAGAATAACTGTGGGCATTCACTGACACAGCCCGATGAGGGAGCATTGGCTGAAGACGCTGCCTGAAACTCCACCATTAAAACACTTGGGTTCGGCTGTGCGAGGTGGCTCATGCCTGTAATGCCAGCATTTTGGGAGGCTGAGGCGGGTGGATCACCTGAGGTCGGGAGTTCAAGACCAGCCTGACCAACTTGGAGAAACCCCGTCTCCACTTAAAAAATACAAAAATTAGCCGGGCGTGGTGGCACATGCCTGTAATCCCAGCTACTCAGGAGGCTGAGGCAGGAGAATCGCTGGAACCCAAGAGGCAGAGGTTGCAGTGAGCCAAGATTGCGCCATTGTACTCCAGCCTGGGCAACAAGAGTGAAACCCCATTTCAAAAAAAAATTGGGTTCATACGTCAGTATTGTCTCTGTTTATGTGCGATGAGAAAGTCCTCACTTTAAACAGCTCTTTTTGTTAGCTAGCTACCTCCTATTGTGCAAAGAATCCACATATGTAGTGAAGGAGAGGGCTGTGCAGGAGTCACAGACGGCTTCTGTGCCAACGGGTGAGCAGGCACCATCCATCAGGCATTGGGCTGTGGGGAAGGGCAACACTGGGGGCTGGGAAGGCAAAGGGTATATCTTAACTGCTCTTTGCAGCTGCTCTACTTTCCGGGAGAGGGGTTTAGCAGCGAGGAGCTGCCAGAAAGCAAGGTCAAACGTGGTGAGGAACATTCGTGGTTGTTTGCAAGGGAACCAAGGAACTCTGTCCACCTCCATGCTCCTTTCCTGCCTTTCCTTCAGACAACAGCCCATCAGATCATCCCAAAAGCCTGGAGCCTGGATGCCCCAGGCTTTAGGGACCTCGCACAGCAGGGCCTCCTGGAGAAGCAGCTGAGGTAGTGGTTGGGGTGTGGCAGGAAAGCCAGGCAAACTTGGGTTCACATCCTGCCCAGTTCCCAATGGCTGCTTGACCTTTGCTGAACCTCTCTCTACTTTTTGGTTCTCACTCACAAGATATAATGGCAAGGCCAGGTGTTTCCCAGGGAGTTTTTGTCAGTGGTGTTTGAACTAGAGTGACTCTATCTTGAACAGGAGCGAAATGAGGCTAAGACCTGCTGGGCCGCGTTCCCAGGAGGCTAGGCATTCTTAGTCACAGGATGAGCCAGGACGTCAGCAGGACTGGGATTACAGGATACAAGTCATAAAGACCCTACGGAAAAAAACAGGATGCAGGAAAGAAGCCGGCCGAAACCAAGATGGCAACCAAAGTGCCCTCGGTCGTCCTCACTGCTCATTATACGTTAATTATAATGCAATGACATGTTAAAAGTCATGCCCACCAGTGCAATGACAGTTTACAAATGCCGTGGCAATGTCCAGAAGTTACCCTATATGGTCTAAGAGGGGAAGGAAACTTCAGTTCTGGGAAGTTCTTGCCCCTTTCCAGGAAAACTCGTGAATAATTCACCCAGGCTGGGTGTGGTGGCTCACACCTATAATCCCAGCACTTTGGGAGGCTGAGGTGGGTGGATCACAAGGTCAGGAGATCAAGACCATCCTGGCCAACATGGTGAAACCCCATCTCTACTAAAATACAAAAAATTAGCCAGGCGTGGTGACGCACACCTGTAGTCCCAGCTTCTTGGGAGTCTGAGGCAGGAAAATCACTTGAACCCGGGAGGCGGAGGTTACAGTGAGCCGAGATCACACCCCTGCACTTCAGCCTGGTGACAGAGCAAGACCCTGTCTCAAAAAAAAAAAAAAGCCAGGAGCAGTGGCTCACGCCTGTAATCCCCAGCACTTTGGGAGGCCAAGGTGGGCGGACCATGAGGTCAGGAGATCTACAGCATTCTGGCTAACACAGTGAAACCCCGTCTCTACTAAAAATACAAAAAATTAGCCGGGTGTGGTGGTGGGGGCCTGTAGTCCCAGCTACTTGGGAGGCTGAAGCAGGAGAATCACTTGAACTTGGGAGGCGGAGGTTGCAGTGAGCCGAGATCGCGCCACTGCACTCCAGCCTGGTGCCAGAGCAAGACTCTGTCTCAAAAAAAACCCAAAAAAACAAAAAAACCCACCTTTGTTTAGCATAGAATCAAGAAATAACCACAAGTATACTCAACTGCACAGCCCTGCTGCAGCTCTGCCTGTGGAGCAGCCATGCTTTTCCGCCTGACTTCTCTAATAAACTTGCTTTCACTTTTCTCACCCCAAATTCTTTCTTAAGTGAGATCCAAGAACCCTCTCTTGAGGTTCTGGATCAGGACCCCTTTCTGGTAACATTTTGGGAAGTTGGGGAATGAGACAGTCAGTATATATCACCCAGAGAGCAAGCATTCCATGAGTGCTTATTCTTCTCCTTAACCCTGCCGGTCCAGGTAACACATCCCACCCTGAGTGGAGAACTGGAAAGGCCCTACACCAGGCTCTTAGTTTTTCTGGAAGGAAGAGAATTGAAAGATCTAGAAGGATCAGGGGTCCCGAGACACCCAGCCCTAGAAGGCTTTTGGTATGAGCTGCTCCACATCCTAGGAAGCTCCAATCCTGACTCAGCCTCTCACCAGCAAGGTGACATTGGGCAAGCTACTCCACCCCTCAGATCTGTCCATGTGGAAAATGGCACCTCCTTCCAAGGTCGAGGTTAAGATCGAATGAGACTGTGCACATGAAGTACTGAGCCCACTATCCCTGGCCAAGCCACAGGCTCAAGAAATAGCAGCCTTTTCTGTTATAAATCAGAATAGTTACACAAGAATAGATTCTGTATAGCATTAATTATATTCATTTATCAAAACAATAATTATCATGGTCCATGACTACTATGATAATTATAGCTGTACTATATTACTATTGTTATGCACAGCAATATGGCAACAGGGTGCCTGAGTAGGCTGGCATGTTTCTCAAGGTCACTTAATCTCAGGGCCCCAGAACCAGAAAAGAAACGGCACAGCTGGCCACACCCACAATGTGGGGGTCTGCCAGCCGTTCCTGCTTCAACCACGAGGGGGCACTCAAAGACAAACCAGAGACCGGACCTACAGATGGGTGTGTGTGTGTGTGTGTGTGTGTGTGTGTGTGTGTATGGTGTGGAGTGTGTATGGTGTGGAGTGTGTGTGGTGTGTGCATGTAGGGGTGTGAGTGGTGTGTGAGTGTGGTCTGTTTCTGTGTGTAGGGTGTGTGTGGTGTGTGTAGTGTGTGTGTGTAGGGGGTGTGTGTGGTGTGTTTGTGTGTGTGTAGGATATGTAAGGGGTGTGTGTGTGTAGAGGATGTGTGTATGGAGGTGTGTTTAGGGTATGTAGGCTGTGTGTGGTATGTAGGGTGTGTGTGTTTGTGAGGATGTGGTATGTGTGTGGGGTGTGTGTGGGGGGGGCATGTGTGTGGGGAGTGTGGGGTGTGGTGTGTGAGGTGTGTGTGTATGTGTGTAGTGTGTGTGTGTATGGTGTGGTGCGTGCATGTAGGGGGTGTGAGTGGTGTGTGTGTGGTGTGTGTAATGTGTGCGTGTAGGGAGTGTGTGTGGTGTGTTTGTGTGTGTGTAGGATATGTGGAGTGTGTGCAGTGTGTGTGTGTGGTGTGTGTATTTTTCCCTTTCCTCCTTCATCACTTTCTCCCTTCCCACAGTCATTGCTACAGACACCCTTCGGCTAATATCTCAGAAACGGGATTTTGGGGTGATGAGTGTTTAGAGGAACTGAGAGTTAACACGAAATCTTTTTGATTTAGTCGAAGATGACAAAATCTGAAGATTTCACATATTCTTTTTTAACAGGAAAATCTGACAGCATTGCTGCTTCCCCACCCAGGGCTGATGCTCATGAGCTTGCCTGGTTCCCAACTGGCCCACCCACATGCTGAGGTTTCCTGCCTGGTCTCTTGCAGACACCTGAGGAATGATCTCCTTTCTGACCTTGGTGGAACGCAGGGCAGTGCGGGGCACTGAGCAAGGCTGAACAGAGGGAGGGGCTGGAGTCTGTGCTTAGCCCCTGCTGTTTAACCCTTGGCAAGCACTTGACCATTTTCTGCCCAACTGAACGGACTTGGAGTTTTGCCCCCAGCCTGCCCCACAACAACCCCATGACCTGGGCAAATGATTTGTCTTCCCTGGGCCTTGTGCTCAAGTACATCCAAACCAGCCCCCATGGCTGGTCCAGGGCCAGTGGGCAGTGAGGTCTTCCACTCAGCCCTCACCAAGCTCGGCGGAGGCCAGAGGCTTGGGCCTTCTTACCTTGCTCTCCAATACCTCCTGGAACTTGGACTCGATCTGGTTGTGGAAGAGATTCAACAGCCACCTGGGGAGAGAAGCACAGTCTGCCACTGAACTCAGCCGGGTGTCTGGGAAAGCCGGGCCCTGGTTCCTGGCCAGGCCAGTCCACAAAGGGAGCCCTTTCCACCGCCTCCTGGCGCCCTGCTGTGTCCCAGCACACCCAGCCTGATCCCAAGCATCTGGCTTCTCCACATCTATGGCGCCCGATCGCATGATCACATTCACAAGATTTGGGGAAGGGGCTTGAGAATCCACATTTTTCTTTACTTTTTTTTTTTTTTTTTGAGATGGAGTCTCGCTCTGTTGCTCAGTCTGGAGTGCTGTGCCACAGTCTCGGCTCACTGCAAACCTCCACCTCCCAGGCTCAAGCGATTCTCCTGCATCAGCCTCCTAAGTAGCTGGGATTACAGGTGCCCGCCACCACACCCGGCTAATTTTTTGTATTTTTAGTAGAGACAGGATTTCACCATGTTGGCCAGGCTGGTCTCAAACTCTTGACCTCAGGTGTTCTGCCTGCCTTGGCCTCCCAAAGTGTTGGGATTACAGGCATGAGCCACTGCGCCCGGCCATGCCTAACTAATGCTTGTATTTTTTGTAGAGACAGCTTTTCACCATGTTGACCAGGCTGGTCCTGAACTCCTGACCTCAAGTGATCCTCCTGCCTTGGCCTCCCAAAGTGCTGGGATTACAGGTGTGAGCCACTGCACCTGGCCATGCTTTTCTAATCAAGGAAACTGAGACCAGAAGAGATGAAATGACTCGTCCAAGGACTTGTATATTTTTTTGCAAATGCTCCTTCGACTAAAGCTTCTGTGTTCCTCCAATAGCCAGATTTCATTCACCTGACAAGGGTTCCCTGAAGCTTACTTTTTTTTTTTTTTGAGACGGAGTTTCGCTCTTGTTACCCAGGCTGGAGTGCAATGGCGCGATCTCGGCTCACCGCAACCTCCGCCTCCTGGGTTCTGGCAATTCTCCTGCCTCAGCCTCCTGAGTAGCTGGGATTACAGGCACGCACCACCATGCCCAGCTAATTTTTTGTATTTTTAGTAGAGACGGGGTTTCACCATGTTGACCAGGATGGTCTCGATCTCTTGACCTCGTGATCCACCCGTCTCGGCCTCCCAAAGTGCTGGGGATTACAGGCGTGAGCCACTGCACCTGGCCGAAGCTTATTTTTTTAATGAAAATGATGCACCAGTATTCCTGGCTTAGGTCTGTATCTGTTCATCTCAACAGGGTTCCCCAAAGAATAACCTTCAAGTGCCCGTGCCATCCACCTGGATCATTACAATTACCGGAGGCCAGGCTGAGCGCTGGATGGGCCGGGGGCTGCAACCAGGAGTCAGTTGGCAGTGCTCCAATGGGAACCTACCCCAGGTCTCCCGACATGTCCACCTCCACATCGCCGATGTTGCTGCTGCATCTGGAGGCAGCAACTGTGGGCCTCCCTGAGGACTCACTGCCCAATAGGAGGTTGACGGAAATGCTGATGCCCTTGACACTCACATCAAAGGAGCCTTGTAGTTTCCTGGAGGAGATCAAAGAAGCCACGGTTGGTTCCTAGACCAGGGTCTGCCACCATTTGTGGGGAGAATAGCAAGATCAGTTCTTACCCCAAAATAAATGGAGCTGAGCAGAGATTTAAGAATAACAAATAAAGCTATAAAAGATCTAAAAGAAAGCCTGGACCCAGGATTTACAGTCCAGGGATGGACAAAGGCATTTCTAGGCAAGATCCAAGTTTCATAAGCCATATCCTTTATATATTTATGAGATCCGAGTCTCATTAGTATATAAAGGAAATACTTGATAAACTTGCCGGCATAGAAAATTAAAACTTCAGTGGACAAAAAATGCCATATGTAAAGTAAAAAACAAAATGCATTATGAGACTTCCAAAGAGCCAATTTCCTGAATATATGAGCTAATTTCCTTAATATACAAAGAACAAGCCAATATCAATTAACAAGGAAAGACAAAACAAACAACTCAAAAGAAAAAAAAGGTATGACCAGGAAATGCAGTAGAAAATAAGCATATAAAAGTTATTAAAAATGAAAATAACAATGACACCAGTTCTCGCCTATCAGATTCAAAAAACTTTTGAAGTTTTAATACCCAGTGCTATTGAATGTATGAGTAAACAGAAGTCCCAGACACTGGGGCTAGGAGAGCACACTGGCACAACCTTTCTGAAACAGAAATCAGCAGGATCTCTCCTTGTTCTAACACACATACTCTTTGGTCCAGTAATTTAACTTCTAAGCCTTTATCCGATAGCTCTTCCTACCAAGATATATGTGTGGTGTGTGGCAGTTCACTGAAGCATCATGGGTAGTAGAAAAAAAAATTGAGGAGACGACCTGAATGTCCACAAGCAGTGACAGGTTGAATAAGTTGTGGGTACCTATGTTATGCAGACTTTGAAAACAATGGGGCAAAAGTGTGTTCTATTCCAGGGGTCTCCAACCCCAATGGCGGTTGTCTGGAGCTGGGGGAAAGGAAAGGGGGAATGTTGGGAACAGATGCTCGGTGCCGCAAAGAAAAGTCAGCACTGAGACAAAGGATCTCTCAGCAAGGCAAACTTTACTTCCTGCAGAAAGGGTACCCTCACCAGCAGTCTTACCATGAGAGTACAATGAACAAAGGAAAAGGAGACATATTTATCCCTTAGGCATTTGGGGTCATCCTTACTGCTGTGTCTGATCTCTGTTGGCTGGAGCCAGACCTCACAATCTAAAACTGAACCTGATTGGCTAATAACTTAAAACTTTCTTGAATAGGCAAAGAGGAAGTCCAAATAAGGAAAAGACAGGAAGTTGCCTGCAAAAGGACTTAGAAGAGTAATAACAGAAATATCTTGGTTAAAGTTCAAGGACATAGAATGTACTATGTGCCTGTGAGCATGTCTAGCACAAATATCTTGGTTAAAGCACAAGAATACAGAATGTACTTATTCCTTTATATCTAATAGCTACATAGGATAAGTCTTAACAAAGAGTTACCAGCAAAAAGCAAGAAGCCTTTGAAGAAAGTCTTTAAAACAAACTATTATTTCTAACGCTTGTGAGTTATTCTTTAACAAGAAAGGAAATTTTGAAGAGGAACGTTTCTACTTCCTACAGGGGATGATTGTTTAATGAGTAAGGAGTTTTCTCTTGGGATGATGAAAATGTTTTGGAACTAGATAAGGGTGGAGGTTGCATAATACTGTGAATGTACTAAATACCACTGAATTGTATACTTTCAAATAATCAATTTTATGTTCTGTGAATTTCATATCGATTTTTAAAAGCACAGTCAAAAAAGTTAAAAAAAAATGAGGTAGATTGTCACATGCCCATCTAAAGAGATATTTAAGATACTTCGGTGACAAAAGCCAGGGTAGAAGAGTACAGCCAATTCCTTTCATGGAACCAGAATGAATGTGCATATGTAGGTGACATATAAACTGGCATCTTTCTAAATCAATAGAATGTGAGCCACACATGTAATTTTAAATTTCCCAGAAGACACATTAAAAAAGATAAAAAGAAAGAGCTGGAATCAATTTTAGTAATACATAATATCATTTCAACATGTAATCAATACAAACATTATTAATTAGATGTATGTTTTTTTTTTTTTTTTTTTTTTTTTTTTTTTTTTTTTTTAATTAAGACACAATCTT